CCCCAAAACCCCAAAACCCCAAAACCCCAAAACCCCAAATCCTCTATAAAAATATAACAAAAATGAATGTTGATATGGATGACCGGTCGTGTAACATCCATCCTGACCGAGAAACCGAATACTTCTGTGCCCAATGCAAAGTCCCTGTGTGCATCAAATGTATGTTCATGAACCATAACGGCCATTCTCTGTGCCAGATGGAAGGTGTCCTCAAACAGATTAGGAAGGAATTCATTAATATTGATAACAAAATCGGCAAAGCTCACCTTTATCTCAAGGAAATTGATCAAATGCGACAGAAAATAGCTGAGTACAAGCAAAAACAAACTGAAATTATCGAAAGTGGTTTCAGAGAGATCTTCTATAATCTTGAGCAAAAGAAAAGGAAGCTAATACAAGATTTTAATAAACTGTATGAGAGAGAAGAGCAAAAGTTTGATGAGCGTTACAGACCCCTGAAAAGAACCCAAGAGACTGTCCTACAGATAGGTAGGAATAATATTCAGTTTAAATAACATCATTGAGACACACTGTAAACAAGCCGTTCTGAGTAAGTTCACTTAGTTTATGGAATATAGGAAGATTCCAGGATTTTAACAATCATATTTCTAATTCATTAGGGCAACTAAATAAGAAGCTCAGAGATTATGAGGGAGGAATCCCGAAGTATGTTATGAGCTCTGCATTAAAACCGATTACTATAAATGTAGAGAAAGCTGTAAAACTTATAATGAATTTCAAACTTGAGCGAAACCCTTCTACCTCCAAACCGACTAGGATTGACCATATTCCTGAAATTTCTAAAAGGAATTCTAGTCTTAGACATATTGATAATTTTGAAGATGAGCTCATGAACTTACCGTCTGTTTCAACCAAAAACTTAAAGAACCAGCAGAAGATTGCTGATGATATCAATAATTTTGCAAAAAGTAGGAATATGCTATCATTCAAGACCACCAAGACTTATGAGAAATATCAAAATGAAAAATACTCTACCTTTATTCCTCAAAATATTAAAATGGATTCATATAGAGGGTTGAGTCAGCAGAAAACACTTCCGAATGATCCTTTTGAGATTACCTTGAGGAAGGGTTCTCAAGCAACTTTGCCAAGAGAGAGGTGTAGTCAGGATAAGGTTCCTTTAAAAGCTCCGTTGTCAAAGTTTGTTCCTCCAATGGCTTCTAAAGTTCCTCCCAAAGCTCCTATCATCAAGAATGAAGAGTTGATTTCAACTCCTAAAAAGTATGAGGAGACGAAAGAGTTACCTGCTCTAAATAACGAAGCCCCGAAGAAAATATCCCTAGATCTTAAGGACAAGCTTGAGTTTCGCAAGCATAATTCTAGGAAGACAATTGCTCCAGATCTTGGCAGCGGCTTCATGCCAATTCTCCCCCAGAATGAGGACCAAGAAAATTCGAATGAGGTTTGAAATATTTCGAATTTTCAGTAGAAAATTTTATGAAATTTCTGGGCTTGAAAATCTATATATTAACCTATTTTTTATTTATACAGAAATTTCATCTTCACTGAAATTTTCCTAAATTTGAATAGAACCCCAATACACAACATCAAGAATCAAAAATGATATCTGAGATTACTCCAAGTGACCAGGAGGTAAACTTATGATTATTTTTAGGAGAAGAATAGTCTTAAAGAAGAAAGTCCTCAAAAGGATAATAATCAGAAGGATAGTTATGAGAAGATTTCCAAAGCTTCTTCAGTAGCAGGTAACTCTTCTAAATATTGTGTTGATTATATTCTTATAGAGGAAAATAAGAATGAAATCAGCCAGGCACCTCCAGAAATCACGAAAGATCCTCCTCATAACTTGATCCAAGAAGCAGAATCGCCACTTATAAAACAACCTTTGAAGGATAGGATATGATTTATTGGTAATTCAGATACCGTTATCGAGTATATTCTCGAAACAAATACTTGGAATAGCGAAAGGATTGATTATTCAACAGCAGCTTTAAAAAGCCCAATGATAAATCCCTCAATTTGTCAAAATCTTACAACAAATGAAGTCTTCATGACTGGGGGCTACAAGATCAAAAATAGGGCGAAAGCAGCATTTTCTTCATTTTACCAAATAATATTTCCAAAAACTTCTAGAGACAATTTCGAGTTTGAGACAAAGGAGGTTATGCTTAACTCACGTTTTATGCATAACTCCTTATGAACCGATACACATCTCTACGTACTTGGAGGGTGTCAGCTCATGTCTATTATGGACGGTAAATTAGTCATCACCTCTCGTACAATGGAAAGGTATGATTTCTCTAAGAAAATATGGGAGAAAAGAGCCCTAATGAACACACCTAAGAAGAAAATGGCATCCATCGAGTTTCGAAATCAGTTTATATACGTATTTGGAGGGTTTAGTGACAAAACTTTGCTCGATACGATCGAAAAATATGAGATTGAGCAAAATTTATGGACTGTTTTGAGCCTGAAGTTACCAGTTCCCATGGGCAATATCGGCATATCGAGATATTCTCAGGACAAAACTGCCATACTCTTAGGAGGAGTCTGTACATATGATGGTAAAAGTCTTAGCTATCTAGACACTGCTTACAAATTCAATGTTGATACTGAAAAGATTATAAAGATGGCTAAAATGAATTCAAAAAAGTACTTCACAGCTCCTTTAATCAAAAACGAGGATACAATCTTTGCTATTGGTGACGGTGAGGATCTCAAATTAGAAAAATTTGATATACGCAAGAGTAAATGGGAATCTATCTCGATTAACAATTTATTGCCACCATCACAGAAGATATCAGATATGGTTCCTTTTCTGATCACAAATTCTTCATAATTTTCAATTTAAGAGATCTAAGAGGGGTTTTGGGGTTTTGGGGTTTTGGGGTTTTGGGGTTTTGGGG